CATTCCTCAAGACAGGGCTAAGTTTAGTTAGATTGATATTTCTGTTGCTATAAATACCTAACAACTCCCAACTCCTTTCCCAGGAGGAGACCCCACAAGGATTCTTCGAAGATCATGGATTAGGATGATTGCTCACAGAATTGCTTCCTAGTCATGTGACCATCAGATGTGATCACATGACCCAATCACATGACACTCATGACCACTATATTGTGTATTGGACGCCATCGACGTCAGTTTACAGTCTAAAGGCTGATTTGTATTCAACAGATATATTGTTATTTAACAGATGCACTGAATACCATGACGAAATGATGTTCATTTCTAACACAAACATTGACATTTTTTTGCACGTTGGCAAGTTGTTGTTTTTGAGTATTGACAGTATCCATTTCTAAGCTTAGGTTGTGAATCCGGTAAATGTTTTGTTGGATTTTGTTCGATGTGTTGCACTTTACAGTGGGGTGTGGCGATCACATCAATGGCAATAGATTTTATCACATATCTTGTTATGAAGAATGTTGTAACGATATAAGCAGATGGTTCAAATCGCAAGCTTCCAAAATAGCTTAAGAACCCGGTATCTTTGTTTGTCTTTGTTTGCCCATGTATACATATTATTGTGATCTCAATTTAGGTTGTGCAAGTTTTGTATAAAATAATAATTCTATAAAAATTTAGTTCTTTTTCTGTCATATCATTAGCTTAAATAGCTGATAAAAGAGATTGGGAAATGTATGAGTTTCACGGAAATATTAAAATTAACATTCAGCAGTATATTTTCTTTCTTTAGGTGCCAGAAAGCCTCTTCAGATTATGTTCATAAGATTCAAATATATTTTGCCAGGTGGCTTGTATTTTTTCCAAAAGTAAATAATGATAAGATCAAAGTCAATGCATAAACAGTTTGCCTCTCGCGTAACAATTTGGTGTCTGTGTGAATACTGCATGTAAAATCTGTATGGACAATTTGGCATAATAAAGTTCTCTGTGTATCAGAGTGTTATGTGTTTCTTTATAATATAAGGACTCTCGGGCAAGGATGAATAGTCTCCAAGAAGGACGTAGGATGATGTTTGTGGGGTCAGATTTACATTTGTTTTTGTGGGAAATCATTCAAAATTATTATTTTATTTCGCTGTTGTAAGTGATGGAAGTGAGGATGGTTTACAAGCTACTGTGTGTCTCATTCAAAAGTTGGGTGTGACCAGGTCTCATATGATACTGATAAATGTATAGAGAAGAACTTCTTATATTTTGTGAGTGTGACGTTTTGGTACAGATTCTTGTCACACTCACAAAATATAAGAGGTTGTTATCCATAAATTTGTCAGTATTGTACTTCCCAACATCCAAGCTGCCACTCAGAGAACTAAAATATGATGTCAAGACCTCAGATAATGAAATAGTGAGTGAGTAATGTTTTACGCCACGTTTACCAATATTCCACCAATATTCACGGCAAGAGGAGAGCAGACATGGGCTTCACACGTTCCTGTATGGGGAATCGAACCCGGGTCTTTGGCATGATGAGCGAACGCTTTAAACACCCGACCACCCATGGGGAAAGTGAACAAAACTGGTCCTGACAAAATTCAAACTTTGGCATGAAGTGACTCAACTTGACTCTGCCTGAAACCAGTCTTTGCTGGTCAGATCTGGTCGGTGGAGAAGCATGATGTTTGAAGTCTGGGGAAAAAAGGGACAGAAGATATTTCTCTGTTAGAAGGAAAACAGTAAGCTCACGGAAACAAATGTAAATCTGATATTGTAATTTTTTATTGTTAGAAATTATTTCACCTTGACATGTTGGTTTTTGAGATGTTGGCATCAAATGAACTGACCACGGCTTCAGTGACTAGAATCATTTTGGATCTACCTCGACTGTTTATTGAATACTGTCTTCATTTTGTTATGAAAAATAGACATTTATCACCCTAGCTTTTGGAAGTGATGTACAAAATGTAATTTCAAGGAACAGCTATATTTTTTGTTGTGTCATTTGAAATGTGCAGAAAACACGACTGAAATAATGAGTAGTGAAGTTAGATATATGTTAAAGGCACAATGTCACACTTTTTCAACAATATTTTGGCCTATGTTTTATATATTGGGGGCATATGCCCTCACATAAGCTTCCTATTGCTGCAATAAAAGACTTATTATCCCTTATGACTTGCCTGAAATCGGTAATTGAAACTTCGAGGCGAACAGCTTCCAAACAGAGAACACTTCCGTACATGGCATGTAAACAATTGCTCTGTACATCGAAAACTATTGCTCACGGTGTTGTTGGTGTTTGACGAACTGGTTTCAATCATAAGTTGTGCATAGGATATTTGTAAAGAGCGCTCCAAGGGGCATAACTCTATGGGGTTCCCTTGAAATAATGTTAGGTAGGGGGCACAAGAGTTGATTAAAGCAACGTTGCATTAATTCATTTGAACTTTTTGATTTAATATTGTAATCTAAATAATTAATTTTTTTACAGTAAATCATATGGTAGCTTCCCTGAGGGCTGATAGTTAGTATTATTGAGAGAAATGCATTATGTATTTTTTTAGAAATGTGGTGTGACATTGTGCCTTTAAGGTAGCTTGGTGGGTCTGGAGATACAACATGGACAGTTGAGGATGGTTCTGAATGACTATTGTTAGGATGATGGACATTGCTGCGGCATCAGAAGAATGGAGGACACCCATGTGCCACTGATCCTTCTTGAGTGCCACGTTGCCCCTGACAACAGATGATGTGGGAGATGATGACACAGTGCTGTCAACAGTTGATGTGCACCACTACCACGTCCTTCAAAACTCTGTATGATTCATTCCCATGAAATTTATCACAATTTTGCCTTTTACAGGTAATCCAGACTGTCTTAGATGTTTTAAGATGTACTGAAGCTGGTTTCGTTAACAAGCTTTTCAGTAATTCTGTAGACTGCTGAAGCTTAAGGTTTTTGCTACCAAGGGAACAAGGGAGATAGTCATGGAACTACAGTTTCAAGGATTGAAGTTTGGCAAAAACAGTCCAATGAGCCTGATGTCTTTACTTTCTGACAGCTGATTGCTCTCAAAATTATGTTTGTACATTAGAAAACCATCAATGCATGATTCATGTATTTGCTGATGGATATGTGCTGAGTGACTGTTGACGTGTCATGTCTGAAAAAGAATATTTGAAGGTTGAAGGTCACTCTTAGCATGCATATCAGAAGGGAGATAATCTTCAAGGTCTGGTCAATCTGTTGTTTGCATTTCAGAATTGACTCAACTTAATAAAGGTTTAGGTAATCCTATGTTTGGATGTGTGCAAGTTTATGTCCCTAAGTCATTGTGGAGCCCCAAATATTGTCTGTTAGTCTGGAACAGTTTTCTGTGGGGCATATGTTTTTATCCTTTGTTCCCATGCATTGCGAACCTCGTACACAGATGTCGACCACCTTCCACATGTATGCCAGCTGGGTCATTAGTGACAGATACAGCTGCTGTGACATTCGGCTGGACACATGAGGCTTGATGATGTGACATTAGGCTTGACAATGTGACATGAGTCTTGACAATGTGACATGAAGTTTGACAAGGTGACATGGGGTTTGATGATGTGACGTGGGGCTTGATGATGTGACAGGCTTGATGATGTGGCATCAGGCTTGACAATGTGACATGAAGTTTGACATGTGACATGAAGCTTGACAATGTGACATGACACTAGACACATGTGACATGAAGCTTGACATGAGATATGAGGTTCAACGTGTGACGTGAGGCTTGACATGTGACTTGAAGCTTGATGTGTGACATAAAACTTGATGTGTGACATGAGGCTTGACAATATGACATGAGGCTTGACATTGTGATATAAAGCTTGACAACGTGACATGAAGCTTGACAATGTGACATGAGGCTTGACAATATGACATGAGGCTTGACATTGTGATATAAAGCTTGATGTGTGACATGAAGCTTGACAATATGACATGAGGCTTGACATTGTGATATAGAGCTTGACAACGTGACATGAAGCTTGACAATGTGATTTAAAGCTTGACAATGTGACATGAGGCTTGACATGTGACATGGATACATGACATGAGGCTTGACAATGTGACATAGGGCTTGGCAATGTGACATGGAACTTGACAATGTGACATGAAACTTGACACATGTGACATGAGGCTTGACATATGGCCTGAAGCTTGACACATGGGCATGTTTGACATGCTTGACACATGTAACATGAGGCTCGACACACGTGACATAAATCCTGACACATGGGACACGAAGCTTGATACATGTGACAAAAAGGCTTGGAATATATGACAAAACAGTTGACACATGTGATGTATGTATTGAATACAAATGGAATACATGTGACCGAAAGCAGGATATATCTGACTTATAACGTCCCCATATCCCCAGATTGTTCATACCACACACATTCACCACCGGAGCATGCCAGTTACTCCAGTGTACTAACAACTGCATGGGTAACTAACCTGGTAGGCGGAGCATGTCAATATCATATATATAGATCACATTACAATCATGTTTCCCTGTCTGAGGAATGGAGAGACCTGAAATGAGCAATGCTTTGCCCCTGTCTGTAGCCCTGTTGTGCTTTCTGCTGGAGTGCATGAAATCTGCATGTATGTCTGTCCGTCAAATTGTCATGACTGTGAGAAATCATGGTGTCTACACAATAATTTACTGAACAGTTCAGCTAGATTTAGCTGTTTTATTTTTGTTATAATCTATACTTTATATATATAATTTTCAGTTATTGAAATATTATCATAAGGCTTAACTTTTTAGTATTTCAGAAATCATCAGCATGAGTGTTCTAGTAGTAGTACTTGACAAAGTTGAAATTCAAATGCTATCATCCATTGCTTTGACTTAATGCTTTCTCATTTCTAGGGAACTAGTTTCATGTGCTTTGTGCTTTTATTTTGATTTGGCGTGTTTTGTTGCTCATTTCTGTCTCTCCGTTCCCGACAGGAAACAGAAGAACCGAAGAGTATTCTCGAGGAGATGGGATTTACTGTTCCAAGTTAGTGTGCATCCTTTGTATTGCTGTCGTCATGGTGATACCTCCTTGTTGCGACGGTGATCACACCTGCCTAATGTGCCTACTTTCATGAGATATCTCCAAGGCTTCATGTTAAAATATTGTCAGTTTCACTTTTTATCAACAAATCAGTGTAAATAAAGTGATCATTTTAGTGATACAATGCTACAAGAATAGAATCAAAATGATTAGATAGACATATTAGTGGGTCTTTTTCTTTTCAAATGAACCATTGAGTAGTTTGATGGTATGATTGCTCTTACATCGTCTCAGCGATGCGGACATATTATAAAAATGTAGTTGGTGAAAGAAATTTTTTAAGGGTGAAAGTGAAGAGTGATTAGCTGTTGATTAGTAACTTGATCGTAGTTTATGAGTAAGTCATCCTAATTCTCTTCATCCATGTTGCCATGGTTACATTTGGTTGTTTTTTTGTTAATACATGTGCTTATGCATTTATAGAGTTGAAGATCTTCGAAAAGAAGGTGTTAATGTCATTGTAATCTTTGCCTTCTGTAATCTCAGCTTCTCATGATCCTTGTATGTGGAGAACATAAGGAAAAACATTCCAACCTGTTTCAACGCTTTAATTAAGAGGTAAAGATTTGTCTTTTCATTCCAATGTGAAATTTCTTGGATATATATGTGATTGCTATTCATTCAGTGTCATCCAAATTTGGACGTGTAATTTGCTATGTTGTTTGATGTAATGATTTCATGAAACATAGGGTAGTTTGCTGCTGGGCAGATTCTTGCCATCCATCCCCCCATTGTCAAGAGTATCTCCATTCTGGCTTGATCAGTTGATCCCAAACACAACCACAGATTTTAAAATCCAGCTTGAAGGAGGTGGTGCTGCTGCATGAAGTCCAATCACACTGCCGAGCGTTATTGGATTTAACGAAGCAGTACTCGCCTCACCTGTTATCTACCATCACAACTTGTATCTTCCTGAGGTACAAGGGGTGGTGGGGTAGCATAGTGGTTAAAGCGCGCTTCCTTTCACGCCAGTAGACCCAGATTCGATTCCCCACATGGGAACAATGTGGGAAGCCCATTTCTGGTGTCCTATGCCGTGATATTGCTGGAATATTGCTAAAAGTAGCGTAAAACTCACTCCCAATAATTCAAGGATATACTTGTATTTGTCTTAATGTCTGTTCCAGTTCACTTAAGTTGACTGAAATGTTTTGAGGTAGATCTATGCCTACTTTCATTCAGAAGGGTGCAATAATCAACGCCCAGGACTTTTAAGTATGTATTGACAAAAAAGGGCACCTGTTAAAATCTTGTCACGGCACATGCAGTAGTAAATAAACTCTGTTCAAGCATCACTGAAACTAAAACATTATTTGATAATTGACTGGTAACTTATATACACCTTTGTCACTGCTACTTTGTGAAAATGAACCCATAATATGTCCAGAAGAAAGTATGGACTGTATTGCAAGTTTTGTTTTATACTGGACACTTATAAAAATTTGTGACAGATGGTCAACTAGAGCAAGGTGGAAGTTAGTTCATTTCCAGGTCATGAGTGAGATATTTTTAGTGACAGGGTGGTGGGGAATCCGAGTGGTTCAAGCGCGCTTATCACACCGAAGAACTGGGTTAGATCCCCTACATGGGTACAATGTGTGAAGTCCGCTGTTGTGATATTGCTTCAATCATGCTTAAAAACGGCGTAAAACAATACTCGCTCTTAAATAGTCAGTGAAGGAGATAGACATGAGGTGCCACACTTCAAACAAAGTTGTGGGACCAGGTCAATCATCATAACAGAATGGAAATACAGCTATCTGATGATGGGGGAGGGTTTGTCTTCGCTGTGTGAGGTGTGTGATCATACCCAGGGAGGGTCCGAGTACAAGTGCACTTAGCATTCAGCTGGTCTCATCAAGGTCATGTTGGGCATCATACTCCTCCGTCATGCCGCGAACATTAGGTCTGTTTGTAGACAATTCAACACCAGTCTGTCCAATATAATACAACTTACAAACAAGTTATTTTTGTGTCAGAAAAAAGGGATATTTTTGATCGGATACATTTCTTGAGAAGTTTCATTGTAATCTTGCCATGAGAAAGCCATGATGTATGGAAGAATAAATGTTTCCCTCTTCATGTAAAACTTCATTTCTGCAAAATGTCGTTATAATCACATGTTGAATAATGATCACAAGATTCATCTATTTTGATACTTAGATAGTTTGAAGTATATAGATTAGCTATGCATTACAACACCAAAGTACCTATCAAGAAACCAGAGCTCACTGTCATGCTTACAATCAGGGTATGAGCGTCGCACTTTATATCATGATATATAGTATTTTATGGTACATTTTTTGTACATTTAAGTAACAATTTACAGAGGTATGCATATTTCACACACAAAGTGAGAAATCACACAGCTATTATATATTTATTGCTTCACAAAGAAGGTTAACAATTAGAAAGACTTAAAATGTAATGTATATGGTCTGATTATGTAACAAATATCCAAGTGTTTTCTATGGGATTTTGCTTAGATTCTTCTGTGAAAACCATTATGATCTATTTTTAATGTTGGATGTTGAATATTACAAGAATCATACTGTGATGTGGAATGGGGTCTCTTGTGTTAAATTGTTGGTTGTATATTTCCATGAGAGTACCATTAAACAGTTACACATACACACCTGTTGTTTTCTGTTCAAAGAAACAGTTCACGTCATCTCGGGAGTGCGGATGTACAAAGCAATGCCGGCCCTAAGATTATTGTATATTAGGTTATATGAGTTTCAGTTACCTTAGTGCCAAGATTGCTTTGTACAACAGTACCCTGAAAGTACCTTGGAAGTTGACGATACTGAAGAACAGCTCAGCTTAAACCTACAGGCAAAAAAAAGTCACTCATCACTCACTGGCAGTAGCTCTGTTGTGTAATGCTGCCTTCAGCAATTTTCCAGCTTTCTGATGGCAGTCTGTATAAAATGGATTCTGGACCACACAATCCAGTGATTGACATGAGAACCAATTGGGATAGGATGGCATGTATCAACCAAGACAGCAGACCTGACCACCTGATCCCGTTAGTCACCTCTTACAACAAGCATCAGTTGTTGAAGATCAATTCTAACCCGGATCTGCTACTGGCAGGAGTAATACACTGAAAGGTCTCAATCCCTTGTGTTACATGTTACCCATATGCGTAACGTATGTGTGTGTGAGTGCAAGTGGCACTCAAAGATATTCCAGCTGTTTGACAGTGACCTGTAAATGATGGAGATCCAGACCACACAATCTACTGTTTAATTTGCATCAAACGATCCTCACTGTCAAGGTACAATACATTGCAATTTGTTATGCTGGACCACACAGCTTGAGTGACACATCAATCTTACAAAATATAGACGACAAAGATCCTCTGTTTGTTCAAACCATCACAAGAAATCAACAATTTCATTGTAACAAATGGTTTATTTTCAAGTCAACAGTGAAACACAGATATCGGAAAACTCTTTGGAAGGTAACACATAGACTATGCTGTAAGAGATACCAGCCTGTATGAAAGGAACTGTTCAACAACCACTTTATGCAGGTGATCTGTTTCCTGGTTGGCAATAAACAGCAGAATCTGCACAGTGACCCAAAGCTTGTTTGTTTCTTCCCTACAATACCCAATATTTGCTAACTGAATTGTGAAAACAAATGACTCAGGGTTGTGATTCAATTGCAAAGAGGGAGAGAATATGAACTTATGAAATGAAAGGAGTATCAGGATACGAAATGTATCACACCGATACTATCAGGATATATAACATATTACACCAATATTATAGGCATACGAATCATTTCACACCTATATTATTGGGATACATATCGTATGACACCCATATTATCAGGATACGAAACGATAATACCCATATTATTGGCCTACAAATCATATCACACCTATGTCATTGCAATATGTATCGTATCTAACCCATATTATTGCGATATCAATCGTATCACACCCATATTATCGGGATATGTATTGTATCACAGCTTCATTGTCATTAAAGGAGTATCATTACGGCTTTAAGGACATTGTCTCAAATTTCATGAAATAAGTTCACAGCAATGCAAGATGGTATATTATGTTGTACTTATATGACCAGAATGAAGCTTTGTGAAGTTTTTGTTTAACCAGCCAGTCAGCACTGACAACTGCTAAACTGCATATGCAGCAATGAGGGAAAGTCATTTCACTTCAACTACCACTATGGGCAAGATTATATAAAGTATCCAATATGGAAGTGTCAGTAGAAATCTGAAATCTAAAAGAAGACAAGGAGAGGTTGAGCAATACATAAAATGAGCAATCGTTTAAAAGACCCTGCATAGAAACACATCGTTTGCCATGTGCATAAATCTGATTGTTTAAGGATATGTTTCATATGTATGAAAGAAGACTGTAGCAAATGTGTAATGATATCCACGTACTACATGACTGCCACTAGAGGTGGGTTTATCCTGAGCTCAACTGGGTTTACTATTGTCTATTCAGAGCTTGTGACACTGAAAAGACTAGATCAGCTATATGAGGTCGCCTTACACATACACATCTTCAAATATGACATCACCGAGGTCCTCCTCGCCACTGTCCTGTGGGATCTCGATTATGTTGAGTTTGCCATTACGATCCTCTGGAGATTCTGGATCACTGATGGATTGAACTTTTGCCTTAGTTTTATCTTTTTCTGAAGTTTTCTTCTTGTGACTTTTATGTTTATGTTTTTTATGCTTTTTGGACCTTTTGTGTTTTGTTTTAGAGACACTACGACTGGACCTACTATTTTCTGAATCGCTGTCAGTGGAGCTTTCTGTCTTTTTAGCTTTATGAGTTCCATTTGACTGACCATTACTGGAAGTTTGGACATTTTCCATGGAATGTGATGGAGACCTTGACCTTCGACCTTTTGATCGTGACCTTCTTTTACTCGATCTTGATGGAGATCTAGACTCTGATTTGTTACGTCTTGTAGTTCTTGACTCCGGAGAGACTGGTGATCTTGACTTACGATATTTTAACCGTCTCGATTTTGGCGACCTTGAACCAGATCTGTGTCTGACTGATCGAGACGGAGACCTAGATTTGCGACTTCTTGACCTTGATCTCTTTCGACGTGACCTTGATGGAGACCTTGATCTTGATCTGTTTCCTCCCTTCCATTTTGGTGACCTTGACCGTGACCTTGACCTGTCATGCCTCCTACTTTTGTATCTACTGTCATAACTATGATCACGTCCATTGTAATCAAACCTGTCTCTATGTGAATAACGATCTCTTCTGTCAGACCCATACCGATGATGGTTATCCCTTTGGTCTGAACTTCGATGGTCTCTCTCAGACATTTCGTAATCTTTATCTGCTAGCCAGAATTCATTTCCAGGGTTCCTGAATACATGGAGAAAGTTGCAAGATTTCCCCTTCGGACACCTCTTGACAAAAGACTGACCTGATAATGAAAAAAGTCCAATATATATGTTTGTATCAAATTAATGTAAATAAATGTGGTAAATGTAAACTTGATGTATTTTGTTTGCTTTATTTGTCTGCAGTCTGCAATATACAAACTATATCAAAGGTGTGTGTGTGTGTGTGTGCGCGCAATCATTTCTCTACTGCTTTCTATGTGGTACTCTAGTTTTTCACCCTAAAAAGTCACACAACTCACCTAAACCTTCCAAGTGCTCGACATCAAGTTGATATAATGACTGGTAGACGGTCACTACATTGTCTGAGAGTGGGTATCCATGTTAGATTGTTGCATGGGATGTCAGTGAGCTTGTACAAGGGCATACTCAGCATACTGAGTTTTGTAACTCTACAGGGGTAAAAATACAGCAGTACAAACCAGTTGGGGCTTTATACTTTTGTTAACATTGATATGTTATATCTGTTCATTATAACCAAGATCTACGGTAATGTTGGTTCGTTGTTTAAGCCCGCACTCAGCAATATTCCAGCTACATCGCCCCTGTCTGTAAATAATCGAGTCTGGACCAGACAATCCAGTGATCAACAGCATGAGCATCAATCTACACAATTGGGATATGATGACATGTGTCAACCAAGTCATCGAGTCTGACCACCCAATCCCTGTAGTTGCCTCTTACAACACATGGATTACTGAAGACCAATCTAACCCGGACCTTCACGGGTCTAATAACCATCTCGTACTGATTCCATTACACGTGCTGACATACCACATATTGCTGACTTCCACCTGGCAATGTTGATGAAGACACAAGAGATCTGCCGGCCTCCGTACCACCGGCCATTGAACTTGACAAACGCCTTCTGAGCATCATCCTCACTGTGGATGAGAGAGAGAGAGTGAGTTTAGTTTTACGCCGCTTTTAGCAATATTCCAGCATTATCACAGCGAGGAACACCAGAAATGGGCTTCACACATTATACCCATGTGTGGGGAATCGAACCCGGGTCTTCAGCATGACGAGCGAACGCTTTAACCACTAGGCTACCCCACTGCCCTCTCACTGTGAATGAAACAACAAACAACAATAATGACGTGATATAACAAAGTATGATATGGATTTCAACTTCTTTATTATAACAACACCTGATGAAGGGCAAGAAGAGGCCCAGAAACACTGACTGACATCACGGCGGGGGACACCAGAAATGGGCTTCACACAAGGCCCAGAAACAACGTGTTCTAAATAATAAAGATGTTATAATCCATATCATACATTGTTATATTACCTGCCAACTTCTAAATGGCCCAACAAGCATCTAACGACCAAGTGGTACAGTCCTACACTTCTATCGGAGGCAGTGGTCATCAAACATAATGTAAAAAAACATAGCGGTAGACATGGCAAACAAACACATCAATCATTTATCAATCATTTCTCAACCACTTTCCTTGCTGAACAGATTAACTGTGAGTATGGTTTATGCCGCTTTTGGCAAAACTGCAACAATATCACAGCAAAGGACACCAGAAATGTAAACTGTAAACAAACTGTACCATGTAAGGAATCAAACCTGGGTCTATGGTGGAACAAGTCGCCATGTTAACTATCCTCGCTTACTGTAGTATATGCTTGAGGTAACTGTATGTCGAAGGAGCTGGAGTGTGACAAGCTGCGGACACCTACCGTCGGTATTGGACGTAGACATTTCCCCGCAAATGTGGCTCACAGTTGCAGCTGACCTTGAACTGGATGACCCGACCCATGCCGCGGAACTCTGGCAGCACGTCGTTGTAGAAGTCCGTAAAGTTCTCGTACAGCTCCTTGTCGTCATACTCTAGTGCCAGATCTGTGGAGAAAATCAACTTTTGTTTGTTTGGGTCATTTGTCAGTGTGAGTGTGAGAGTGCTGATATAAGCAATATCTTCCTGTAAAACTGGCTACAGAACATATCACTTGAGTGTGATCAACAACACAATGACATCACAGGACAATGCTTTCAGATCATTGTGAACATATTTCCATGACATCACATTCACAATCAACTGACTAAGCTCACTAGCTACTGTAGCTAGTTGGCTGTAGCTTTCACTCTTAACAAATCAGTTATTGCAGTTTACAAACTGAAAAACTGGGAAAACGATTTTGAATGATGCACGACCACCCGGGTGTGTTTTGATATCAAATATGTCAATGTTTGCTGATAAACCTTGTCAATAACCTCACACAGGAAGTTTCCAACTTCTACAGAACCCAACACAGACAAAGAAAACATAATTACTGCAAATCTGGTTTTGCAAATTAAGAGCTCTGACTAACCCAGGCCCCCCAAGAGCGCTGTGATGGTCCTCTATCTAAGACTCTCCACATCAACCATCTACATTATATCTGGGCACAGAGCACGCAACAGCCCTTACCTGTGTCATTCTCATCCACTAAACTCTGCTCCAGGCGGAAGTTGGCGAACATCCCGGGCAGCATGATGGTGCAGCTCGACTCCGGGTACGTGTGTGAACGTGAGCACCTGAGACAACAACACACACACATGAGACGTAACACGCATACGAGACACAGTTGAACTCGGGGATTGGGCACTTAGATTTATTTTTGTGACAACGTATTTATTCTTGTGGCGTGGTGGGTGGTGATTCCAAACTCCAGCAAGGTATATCAGTGGGCAAGCATTATAAAACTGATGCAAGTCTGGACTGGTACAAACATTTCACATGCATACACATCATAAAAAAATCTTGAACACGATGTCAAACCACATTCCAATTAATCTATTCTGTATAAAACACAAAAGATAAAACATGGTCTTGTAATCTTGTTTATCAGGTAGTACTCTCAATGAATAGCAACTGTTTACTTCAACACTGAGTTCACTCTATTAACCAGTCTGCATCCACTTAAATCTAAAGTAATCAGTCCATAAGGCAGGCAATAAATCAACATAAGTCTACTTAACCTACAGCAATCACTCTATAAGCCAATCTGCAAGTCAACACGTATCTACACCAATAAGTAACATGTAATGAAATCCCAACAAAGTTTTCTCTGCAGCAAGTTGTACCGTTCAGCAAATCTGCAGGCTCCTGTTTTCATGAAGAAGGGACACTGGTCCCGCTCCTTGCCATACACCATGGGGGCGATCGGGTTGTGCCAAGCATCCTGAAACATAATACAGCAGACTCTAAGGAGACTAATCTCTTTAGTACAAGCACTCTGTGAGTGAGCTGAGTGGGTTTAACACATTTTGAATAGGATTCCTAGCTGACACCCAGGACCATGGGTATGTTCTTGACAAACCTAGAAACATTGGTGCCATCTTGGATTCAAACATACGATAAAGATTTTGCATACCCACAGCCTGACTCTGCTCAGGGGAATTGTGGCATGACAACCAGTGCCTCTGTATCAACAATGTACCAATTGAAATCATTTTCTGTTTAATTATACGTTAATAAACCTGTTGCAAATATTCCTCAAGTCTGACAAGCCTAATATCATCTTTATCTACATGGCAGAGATTCCAGACTGATTAACATAACATGGGCCTAACAGAGTATCACAGTTGGACAGATGGTCGGACAGACCGACAGACAGACAGACAGACAGATAGAGTATGCGAAGCAACTGAGTGAGTAAGTTTAGTTTTACACCGCTTTTAGCAATATTCCAGCAATATCACCACATCCCCTACTCAAAAGAAGGTCAGTTCCTATCTTATCTGTCACAGCTGGTGGGTACTGCAACACACAGCTGTGTGGGTGGTCCTTAACTTCCTGTGGGTAACATACATATGCATACATACAAGTGTAGACAATGTGGCTGTTAATGGTGTCCAACAGTTGGCAGGCTGAGTATGGTTTTACGCCGTTTTTAGCAATATTCCAGCAATATCACGGCGGGTGACACCAGAAATTGGCTTCACAAGTTGTACCCATGTGGGGAATCGAACCCGGGCCTTCGGCATGACGAGCGAACGCTTTAACCAATAGGCTACCCCACCGCCCCGTTGTCCAACAGGCTTGAATTGCTTGTATATAAATCATCTATAGTAGCAAGCTGTGTGAGGACAATAACAAGTTCTTAAACACCAAATGTAATTGCAAGTAACATAAGAAAGCAACATCTGACCCAAACTTTGTCATGCAGTTTGTCAAGTCTTGGCCTCAATCATTTGTTCATATCAATCAATAGTCCAGTCTGGACCAGTCAATCCAGTGATCAACATCATGAGCATTGATCTACGCATGACATACGTCAACCAAGTCAGCGAGCCTGACCACTTGATCCCGTTAGTCGCCTCTTATGACAAGCATGGGTTGCTGAAGATCAATTCTAACTCAGATCTTCGCAGGTCAAGATTCAGCTGGGGTTGAATGTGTAGAATATGATTAGGGTTACCTGGTTGTCATTGGCTGTAGCTTGTTGAAGTAGTTGAGCCTGTGGTCACCATGGACAGTGAAACAGAGAGCATGTCTACATGATACTGATGTTAAGTCAACTCAAACACAAATGGCAGGTATCACTGGCCTACATCATGGCTGTGACATAAAGATATCAGATTGAGTGAGTGAGTGAGTGAGTGAGTTTAGTGTTATGCCACACTCAGCAATATTCCAACTATATGGTGACGGTCTGTAAATAATCGAGTCTGGACCAAACAATTTCAGTGATCAACAGCATGAGCATCGATCTGCGTAATTGGGAACCAATGACAAGTCAGCGAGCCTGACCACCCGACCCGTTAGTCGCCTCTTAACACAATCATGGGTTACTGAAGATCAATTCTAACCCAGACCTTCACGGGTCAGATATGAGATTGAATGATAGCTGATCACCTAAATATGTCAATATGATGACCAACAATAACTATTAACTTTCATACATATCGGGCCCCTTTTTCTAAAGTGATCGTAAACACTAGGCCTGACACAACTCATACAGTTTCTAGTGCTACGATCGCTTTGTGAAACAGGACACTGATTGATGTACTGTTGGTGGCTTGGAAAAGTTACTGACATAGCATGATACGGACAATTTTACATTTTACCAAAAATTTCATCATTCAAACATTGAACTTAATGAAAGACGATTGTTGAAAGGAGTTCCGCAGCTACCAGCCAGGCAGCAACATTGGAGATACGTAATGGCGGCATGAACAATCATTACTAAATGACTTATTCAAACAATCCCTGGTTGAAAGTGCCAGAAAAACACCATCCACTACATAACTGAACCACCCACGATCAGCCATTTTGCAGCCAGGTCATTTGGTGGTCAGCTATCCTCGTACTGAAGACATCAACACTGACCACAAGTATGGATGCTTTGCTTTAATTGTTGTTTAACGCCACACTCAGCAATATTCCAGCTATATCACGGCAGTCTGTAAATAGTCTGGACCAGACAATCTAGTGATCAAAAGCATTGATCTATGCAATTGGAATACGATGACATGTATCAGCCAAGTCAGCGACCCCCACCTCCCGATCCTTTTAACCGCCTCTTACGACAAGCATGGGTTACTGAAGACCAATCCTACCCCTGTACATTCACGGGTCTAAGGTAATGAACATCATGAGATGCCCCTACGTCAACACATGAGAAAAGATACAACATTCTTGAGAGGAACTTGAGTGGGTTCAGTCCCTGTATGAATGTACTGACGTTAAGGAAATGATGGAAGCATCTGGCACACAACAAAGTCAATATCACGTATTCATCCTTGCATGGAGCTTGCATCTCTTTGATACCTCAACAGCTGTGTAAGGATACATAGGTAACAAATTTGGGATTCTGGGATTCACAACATCTGCATCCTCGATAATCTCCAGGGTATACGTTCCGATAAATCTCCACTAATACAATTATAGGGCCGAGTCGTAGATGCATACAGGGTACTAGTTCATATTTATCGGAACATATACCCTGGAGGTTATCGAGGATGCAACATCTGATGTTCAAGAATATTTACACAACACTGAACAACGATGTATCACATACTACACGGAAAGTTACTCGTCAATTTCATAAGAAAAATACTTTATGTCTATCGATAAAATCATCCTGCAAAACCTTTTTTTATAAGAATAGTTTTGAATATGTCAAAGTTTCACATTTAGAAAAACTGAATTGTTCTGGAACTTATTTAAAGGTTTGTGTACATAAGAACATGTATTTCTTCTTTTCAACATATTAAAATGGTGGATTTGTGAAGACATAGGTTCTGATAATTTTAACATCTGAAATAGATTTTAGTATATCGTTTATCATCGTTACATATTTCCACAAAAAATTGCTCATTTTTCTAAAAATTTACAAAACATTCAATTACAAGGTTGTCCATCCCTTTTAGAGTGGGTCAAGATGTTATTTCTCATTCTTCCATTCAAATTTCGACAATGACCTTAGTGGAATCAGGTGTGCCTAACACATGCTGCCATTACGCTACGAGAGGACAAAGCCTCCCCATCAGTGTGGGTAGTGCACTGTGTGTAGGATATAGAAAGTCCACCAGGCTCTCGCTCCATGTCACCTGTTTCTCTTTCTTCTCTCTCTCTATCTTCTCCCTCTCCTCTTCTTCCGCCTCCTCCTTCTTCTGCCGTTCTTCCCACTCCTCCCGAATCTTTCGCTGTTGGAAATATTACAGGAAAAGAAAATATAGTTAACCAAAAGATAATTACTTTCAAATACTAAAAAATACAACAATAATGAAGGTTATTTTCTATTCTGTTTTCTATTACAGACCAATATTAAGGCCTGTTAAACAAAGTAATCTTACCACTGCTAAGATGACTGCAACTCTCACAGTTTAACACTAACTTACAGGGCTCGATTTAAGATATGTTAACCTACTTGCACCAGGTGCAACCTGAGATAAAAACCTGGTTGCACCAGCCAAATTCCAGCTGCACTGCTCTTATTGCAATGTGTAATGAAAGAAATAGGTTACTGAAGTATTCAAAGTTTAGAAGAAAAATGAGCTGACATAATTATGCTTAAATGTTATATTTTTTGTTGATAAAATTCTAAACAATTGACTTGCACCTGGTGCAAGTTAGACAAATTACTGGGTTGCACTTTGTTACATTGGGTTGCACCAGTGCAAGTAACAAACCACTAAATCGAGCCCTGACTTAGCAGTAGGTCTTTGTGCAAAGACTGTTTACCTCCCACATTAAACATGTCAAGACATCAGATCAACAACAGGTGAATGACTGAGATAAAAAACCATCAATATCCCATGAATTATACCTCCGCTTCGAGTCTCCGCTCTTTTTCCTTCTTTCTCTCTCTCCTGTTTGGCCAGCCATTCTTCTTCTGCTTTCTTCTCTCGTTCCAGCCACAGTTCATGCTGCCGCTGCCTCTCTTCCTCCTGTGCCTGTAGTGCCGCTTCATCCTCAGACTCGCTCACAGACCCAGCTGTAATGTATGGCCCCAGCATTAGAATAACCAACGCTTGAAAATTACCCAGGCTCAAAAAACTTACCAGTGTGTCGTTACAAATTATGTAAAACCATCCCACCAGCAAGATCCCCCCAATCTTTGGCAGTATAGTGAGTGAGTGAGTTTAGGTTTACGCCGCTTTAGCAGTATTCCAGCAATATTATGGCAGGGGACACCAGAAATGGGCTTCACACATTGTACCCATGTGGAGAATCGAGCCCTGGTATTTGGCGTGACGAGCGAATGCTTTAACCACTGGGCTAACCCACCGCCCCTTTGACAGTACAGCAAGAGTTGAGCACTGCAATACTGGGTGGTTCTCCCTTTGACAGTACAGCAAGAGTTGAGCACTGCAATACTGGGTGGTTCTCAGGTAAGGATAGGTCCTCAGCCACCTGTGCAGGTCATAACGAGAGACCACTGCAATACTGGGTGGTTTCCAGGTAAGGATAGGTCCTCAGCCACCTGTGCAGGTCATAACGAGAGACCACTGCAATACTGGGTGGTTTCCAGGTAAGGATAGGTCCTCAGCCACCTGTGCAGGTCATAACGAGAGACCACTGCAATACTGGGTGGTTCTCAGGTAAGGATAGGTCCTCAGCCACCTGTGCAGGTCATAACGAGAGACCACTGCAATACTGGGTGGTTTCCAGGTAAGGATAGGTCCTCAGCCACCTGTGCAGGTCATAACGAGAGACCACTGCAATACTGGGTGGTTCTCAGGTAAGGATAGGTCCTCAGCCACCTGTGCAGGTCATAACGAGAGACCACTGCAATACTGGTGGTTCCTCAGCCAGGTAAGGATAGGTCCTCAGCCACCTGTGCAGGTCATAACGAGAGACCACTGCAATACTGGGTGGTTTCCAGGTAAGGATAGGTCCTCAGCCACCTGTGCAGGTCATAACGAGAGACCACTGCAATACTGGGTGGTTCTCAGGTAAGGATAGGTCCTCAGCCACCTGTGCAGGTCATAACGAGAGACCAAATGGATCAGGTGGTCAAGATGTGTCTATGCATTGATTGTAGCCTGACTCAATGTTGCCAAGTTGACAATATCTATCACTGGATTGTCAGGTCCAGGTTAGATTGTTTACACTCTACAAGCAGCTGTCACATAGCTAGAATATTGCTGACAGCATCATTCAACATTAATACTAAACAAAACAAGAGACATAAGAAGATGGCAATACCCCCGGCTCCCATAAATTTGAAAGAACAAATCATCTGACAGTTACTTAAAGTCCAACTTGATTTTTTTGGACTAAGTCCAAATCGTTCCCATGGAAATCATGAAAAATGAAAATGCCAAAAATCTGCAAATAGCAAAAGGCAATACTTCAAGATCTGTTTGATATATCTGTCTAGTCTTGTAGAAGAATATCCGAACGGTTTTCTAAGTCCAAACAGTTGTGATCTGCGAAACAAAGCTCACCCCTCTCTGAAAGATTTGAGACTGGAAAGTCTGAATCGTTTCCATGGAAACCAAGAAAATAATAAATCACAAAAGTCTGTAAATAGCAACAGGCACCACTTAAGGTTCTGTTTGATATATCTACAAAGTTTTGGAGAAAACTATTGAACGTCTTTTGAGTTATGCTCCGGAAACGAAGCCCACCCCTCCCTTTCAGACTAAGTCCAAAACGTCGAGGGGATAAAAAGCCTTCATTTAAGTTGCTTGATTGTTTGTTATGTAACACCACACTTGACAATATTCCAGCTATCTCCATAATCTGGCGTTTGCACATAATCAAGTCTGGGCCAGACCATCCCAGGGATCGGGATAGAGAACTTTGACAATGGGCCATTTTCAGGATAATAAGCCATTTTCTGAATTTAGAAAACTGCCCTTGTATCAATAGTAAACTTCAAAATTTTAATGGGCCATTTTTTATTATATATAACTTTATTCAGTAGAAAGGCTGCAGGCCCATGTACAATATATATTACAATACAAAAGGTATGATGTGCACAATAACTAGAACATATTTTTATATATTCACAATAATAATTCTAATGAGCAAAATGGCCCATGGCCCCTGCCTTTCCCAGTCCCTGCCATCAAGTGATCAAAAGCATAAGCATCAATCTACACATTTGTGACAAGAGTCAGCGAGCCTGACCACACAATCCCATTAGAGGTCTCTCGGGTTGCTGAGGACCAAATGTAACCTGTATCTTCACTGGTACATTTTAGTTGCACTAGAATTTGTTACAAAATATAATACACTGAGACCTTATTAACTCAATTTACTTGATCTGGGCAAAAGATTACGTTGTCTTAAGACACCAGGGTGTTGTACAAAGCAAATTTAGTGTGAAGCTGATCATATCTCCGATAATTTAGGATAGGTTTACGTTCATCGTAGCTCTAAGGTTCGTTTGTACAACAGAATACTGAGTAAACAAGGTTCTGACTTTATGTCAATAAAAATCAGAGAGAGACAGAGAGAGTATACCTTTGTCGGGTGGTTTCTGCTGATCCTCCAACTGTCGCTTTGCTCGTCTTTTCTGTTTGCGCATCATGGCTTTCCATTTTCTGTGACTAAATGCAAGAGAAGTGTAAAACACATAAAACAAACCTACCTAAATCTTGCTACTGCATTCGATTTTTTAAAGTCTGCTTATATTCATTAGACTCAAGAGAGTACACCTGACAGCAATGCTTTTTCATAATAGATAATTTTTTTCGGACATCATACATTTTTGAACGGCAGTGTTTACTCTAGCCCAAACGAGGCGGGTTGTGTCACACAGACATTGCAGATACTCAGATGGTCTGTGGTCTTTAAGATGAAGCTGTCTTTAATAAGTTAGTGAACGTTTTACAACTGATCATACAATCGGGAAAACAATGGATGTTCTTATTATATCCTAAGCACTAAAAAAACATAATGGAAGATATCAAACATGCTAACAGGACCGAATTAACAATAACTGAAAAACCTTTTGATAGTTCTATATGGGTGCCAGTCAAATCGCCCCAGATACAAAATGCCGCAGCAAATTTTGTCAAAATGCCCCGGATTTCTGGTCAAATTGCCCCAGCGGGGTAGTCAAAATGCCCCAATTTATTTAAAATGATTAAATATATGCCATAAATGCATAGTTTTTCTCAACTTCGATATCATATTCTTCATATATCAGTATCCCGGTGTCTGGGGTTTTCGATGATGTATGACAAAAAGGTAATTTTTATCTGTAATATCATCTGAAGTTTTTATTTTACTAACCTTGAGTGATAAAGGATATATTCAACTATTTCATACACAAATATGAAGTGTTTCCTACAAAAATAATGTTGATGATATCGTATCGGCGAAACTTTTGCTGCTTGCCACGTCCGGTGATTTTGTATGGGTTTTCGACGATGAGCCATACTTTTTGCTCCGCACTGTGAGGGAGTGTTGTGATCACGTGGCTTCCTGTTTATATTGCCTGTCACTAGCAGACGACTGATCTTACTGAATTTTCGCTTGCTATTTTTGGTTATAAAGGCAATTGATTTTGCATCTATTGGTACTAACGATCTTGGGTAAATAATATTGATGTTTGTTTGCTTTTTATACAACTCAACTTCCGGATTTCAATTGTCAATAAAACTTCTCACGACAGTGACCGGGCATCCACCCTGCCGATGAAACTGCTTGTACACTCCGATCGCGTGCGTACTCCCCCAATATAACGCTAGCAATGCAATCGTCGAAATCACCAGAACGTCAAATTCAGCTCGCTTTGGGATATTGTAGTATAGATAGTATAATACAGTAATATTTCTGATATATGTTCCATTAGTAAACAGATGAGAGCAAAAGTAATATTCCTGTATTCTATGCATTTATGTCATATATTTAATCATTTTAAATAAATTGGGGCATTTTGACTATACACCAACCCCCACCCACCCACCCTCACCCGGGGGCAATTTGACCAAAAATGGGGGGCATTTTGACCAAATGTGTTAGGACATTTTGTTGCTGGGGCGATTTGACTGGCACCCGTTCTATTTATTGTAGGATTTCCAGGTTATCCCATCTCAGACAGAAGAACTATGTCAATTATCTGCCACTACTCAAAATCAAGACTTTCGTCAATGTGTATAAGTGTATGGTGTAAACAAAATGAATTTGACATCTAACAAATGACTGCATCTTTTTTTCTAATGTCTTTGTCAGTGTATAACACTGATCGTTAACAGACACAAGAGCATGAAAATAAATGTCAAACATACCTCATCTTCTGGGTTGGACACATTTCTGTCGTCACGTCGTTTGTTTTCACTGATTCCATGCTGAAAATTTGTTGCCTAACTGTAGTACTTCCGGTGAGGAAGTATAGTAACACACGCGAGTACACAAAAACTGATGACGTTCATAGCACAAGATTAGGTCGAGTGACGTTTCTGACATTCACAACCAAAACAAAGTCGACAGCTGATAGATAGTACTATAATTAGCACTGTACGCAGAGCCTGGAGACGGTAAGAAATGCGTAGATAATATACTGGATACTGTGTTTACATATGCAACTGTAATACCAACCAAATCCTACTGTTTAAGGACGTAAGGGCACCAGGTAAATTACAAGCTTATTGGTGGTATTGTCTCAAATATTCCTATGGTCACAGGTCGCTGACCCTATTATTCACACAGACGCTCCGAACAAAATTTGAAATGTATTCGGTCATTTATGTCAAGATCGATGACACGAATAGCAAAATGTTATTTGCTGTTATGTCTCGCTGAAATCATATATTGAGATTTTGAATTTGAATAATGTAACATCATAAGTCTTTGTTACAGAAACAAAGGAATAGATATCTTATAACTCCGTTTTAGTTGCTGAGAACTTTTATTTCGAATTTGGAACAGTTCGGCTCTCCTGTCTTATGTTTGTTGATTGATGGTGTTGTTTCTGATGTACCATAATTAATAACGTTTGAATAAGGTTTTTTGTTTTATATAACCATCCGCCCACGGCTGTGAAAAGCTTACCTAAAAGCCATTGCCCTAGTTAACTGTCAATAGTTATGTGGACCAGACTTAAACCATAAAGGTTATACAGGAGCAATTTAACAACCATCAATGGTTAACTGATAATGTAAGCTTTGATTGGACAATATAAGGATTATTCTTTTGCTATACCTTGAAATTAATTATAATATGTGTAATCCTGAGTATATCAAAGGTATGTATTGATTTGGAACAGTGTAAAATGGTGCATTGTGATTACCTGTTTATGAGTGCAACATGGTGATGTCATTTCTCTTATGTATGGAAATATTCATGTTTTACCCTGTTCCCATGAAAGTTAAACAGTCATACATGCATGACTTAACTTTCCTAAACTTGTTAAGGAGAGGCATATTTCAGGTTAAAATATAGGTCTCCAGCAACCTGTGTTTGTCATAAGATTTGACAGAATGACTTATGTTGTCACCCTGGTGACTGTCTGGATTGCATAGCATTGTATCCTGACTGTCACTGTCAGTGTTCATGATATCAATCACTTTATAGTTTGGTCCAAACTTAAGTATTTACAGACATGCAAATGCAAATAAAATAATATTTCGATCCCTGAGCTTGTAACTTTTTCTTATGTCAGCTGATTGAATGGGTGTGCCCATGTCTAAATTAGGAAAGGATATACACTCCACATGTTTTTCAGTAAAACATCAAAGTGAAAAGTAGCCTGGTGATTCGTGTCAGTGGGGCCTGTTTGGGATTTTAAAGAATCAGTTGAGAGGGATGGGTCAAACCCACTCTCGCTCCCCCAACTCTCCCTCTCTCCCCCTCCTCCTCTCCCTCCCCCCAGTCTACATACCTTCCCCCTTTTATGCATCCACCATCCATTTTGGCTTGTATTCTGTCTGCCTCACCAACCTTTGCCGTCATGGTCTCTGACCATATCATGCATAAACATGCATAAATTGATCTTGTTAATAGCGGTCATGGTGATACAGAACATAGTTAATTAAATTGAAATGATATGGCCATGTTGACAGGTGAATATCATCAGTCAGTGCCAACTGTGTTGTTTTGTTTTTTTTCCACATTTTTTATTCACATCAGTAGGTACAGTCATTTAATACAAAAGTCGTACACAGCGACAGGTGACAGTTCTAGTTACAATCATTTTATACAAAAATCATACAATCAAGGCTGTATAATTGCGGATCGTCTAAGCTTGAGCAATTAGGTAAGTCGGTGCTATGGGTAATATTACTTGTTTGCTCCTGGGTTCATTTGGTTTGTTTTCATAATAGCACTGTATCCTTCTGGGTAACCAAGAGGTAGAAACATTCATACATTATACAGAGTGCCAACTATGTTAGTTTTGTAGTCCATAATGCTGGTGACGCATCAGATTTCTATTAAATTAATATTTCTGTGCACTAACAAAATAAGACTACATAAAGAGTATAAGCATAACAGATATATGGCAGTACTGTGAATACACCTGGTACTAGAACTTCACACAGTGTGTATTTTGAATGACAGTTTATGTTTACCATGTCACTGAGGTGATGAGGGGCAGTGAGGTAGCCTAGTGGTTAAGCGTTTGCTCATCACGCCAAAGACCCGAGTTCGATTACCCACAGTGTACAAGACCGCTTCCGTGGTATAGTGGTTAGAGCATCCGCCCGGGAGAGAGTTGTAGGTCGCGGGTTCGATCCCCGACCACGTCATACCAAAAGACGTTAACATTTGGTAGTTGTTGGTCCCTGCCTGGCGCTCGGCATTAATGGGTACAACAAGGACTGGTCGGCTCGAAGTCAGTATAATGTGTCTGAGTGGGGTATTCATGCTTCACTGCGGCATGGTAAATCAGTGGGCTAGCACTATAAAACCAGCTTAAGTCTGGGCTAGTACAAGCAGCCGCACATACACATACACACGCATGCACGTCGTCATATGAGCGAAATATTCTCAAGCACGACGTCAAACCCAATTTCACCTCACTCACAGTGTACAATGTGTGAAGCCCATTTCTGGTGTTCCCCTCAGTGATATTGCTGGAACATTGCTAAGAGCGGCGTAAAACCATACTCACTCACTCATCAGAACTCCCATACTTCAACATAGACTTACGACTGTCATAGTGCTTGGATTGGTTTTTTAGAATACAGCCCAAGGACCTCATTTTCATTTGGACAAGCTATCATTATTCCTTAGCAATCCTGAAGCCTAAATAACCTGTGAAGGTCTGGGTTAGAATATTGATCTTCAGCAACCAATGCTTGTCGTAAGAGGCAACTAACGGGATCAGGTGGTCAGGCTCGCTGATTTGGTTGACACATGCCATCGGTTCCCAATTGCGCAGATCGATGCTGATGCTGTTGATCACTGGATTGTCTGGTCAAGACCCGATTATTGACAGACCGCCGCCGTATAGCTTGAATATTGCTGAGTACAGCGTAAAACTAAACTCACACACTCACTCAAGTCTAAATAGATAGACACTGTTAAGACTGAGCATGGATGGTTTCTAATTGTGCCAGTCAGGAATCAGGAACTAACTTAACCAGCAATGTGCTTTAATTATATGACTTACACTCTAAAACAAGAAAAACAAATTTTCTGTGCCGTATTGCCATAGAGTGCCTTAATTTGTTTCCTAAGTCTGTATACATGTTAAGATAGCACTGGTCTTCAGCGACCCATTCTTGCTGTAAGAGGTGACTCAGGCGTACTGATGGCTTGATGTCATCGTGTCCTAGTTGCGGAGACAGATGTTGATAACATCAATCCCTTGGTCATCTGGTCCAGACTTAATTATTTAGACTTCAGTGATATAGCCAGTGTTCACAAATAATGTCTGACCCTCTGACAAATCCGGCACATTCGCGAACGGTCCGATAGAAGTTTGCAACCCTCCGGCTCAAGTATCTGACTGTATATTTCACAATGACTTTGACTGAAGTTGTTGTATGTAACATGTGACACTTCATTGCTGTTTATAAATCTTATGTTTGTTAATAATTCCAATGTCAATTATAAGAAATGTTAAATCTGAAATGTGTGTTTAATTTTATTCTATGGGTCCTGTGAATTTTCAATGGGTCAGACAGACATCTGAAACTTACAGGACCCAGCGTCCTGTTACTTTGAAACACCATTCGTGAACACTGTATAGCTGGGAAGATCAGAACCACATCATTATTTTTTTTATTGGCCTTAACTAATTCCTGGACATTGGCAGAGAATTACAAGTTATTGAAGTCATGCAAGGGATTTGTTTCAGCAAATCAATCAATGTGTGAAGAAAGATAAATTCATTTCTTTAGATCACTTCGTCTGGTCTCTGTCTGATGACGTCGAACAACTCGGCATGCAAAGTCCAGCCTCCCAGCTAGGCGACGGGAAACTGCCGGTCTTTGTCTTCCCGTCAAGCCTTGCTTTCTACTCGGACGACCAAGCTACACACAAACAGGTGCTCACCCTCTACAACCCGTACGATGCTGCTCTCAAGTTCAAAGGTAAGGGATGATAACACAAGATGCTTTGTATGTGGGATTAGGCTGACTATCATAACACTGCTTGGTGGCACGTACTTTCAGTAGGCAGTGCAAGAGGTTGACGGTTTCAATATAGATAGGGGCGTTGGGGTAGCCTAGTGGTTAAAGCGTTCGCTCGTCACACCGGAGACCCGGGTTTGATTCCCATGTGGGTACAATGTGTGAAACCCATTTCTGGTGTCCCCCACCGTAATATTGCTGGAATGTTGCTATAAGCGGCATAAAACCATACTCACTCACTCATTTTTGACAGAGACACTGTGCATGTGATTGTCGATACAGAAGTACGTAGAATGGAATATGGCGAAAAGTAGACCAAAGTAGACACAGTTTATAATGGGTCATGTTATGCAAACAATGTTGAAAACCTGAAGGACCCAGGAACCTCTTTCAGTTTGAACTTTGAACAGAAAGCAAAACACACACACGCACGCACACACACACACACACACACACTTTTGTCCTGAAAGTTGACAATTCTGTTTATTCTGGCAAGGTCAGCAAATAATACTCCACAAAGAGACATTAGATTCAACGGAAAATGTTGCCAAACACCAAAGTCGGGATGCAATGATGGATTAAGCAGTGTTTTGTCAGCATGTGTCCATCAAATTCATTGTTCTTTCATCAAAAGACATTATTTTTCAGTGTTAATTGATCCCTGCTGACAAGGATGTAGTAGATTTGACCTACTTGTGTGATTATCTGTGACATTGTCATGGGAGATGAGACATGTTCTACATCTTTTGCTTTGATAACAGAGATGTCAGTTACTCCGATTCTGGCAGATTTACTACGATTTTCAAATACAAAATATGCTCTCCAATTTGTTTTTAAAAAACTCAAATTTTTCAGAATTTTTTTTTATGGTATACGATTTCGTAAGTCACTGGTTATTTATTTGAGTCAACACTGGTAAAAGCATTCAGAAGCTTAGCGAGTGATCTTTTTGTCTCGATTGTGTATATTTCATATTATTGACGGCAAAGTTTCACGAAGTTTTTCCGAATGCATGTAAGTGAAACAAAATGGTGGAGCCGTCATGTCATCATATCCCAACTGCTGAGATTGCTGCTCATGTTGTTGATCTCTGGATTGTCAGGTCTGGACAGATTGCTGCCATATTATATGTTGCTGGACTGTTGACAGATGTCTGAATGGTTGAATGAGCTCTGATTGCTCAAAAATTGAAATTTACACTTTTTACTCAAAACAAAGTTTACACTGATTACACAAAATGAAATTTGCACTGATTACTCATGAAGAAATTTGTACTGATTACAGTTAGTTCCTCCTTTCAGTCTTGTCGACAGCACCAAGGAAGTACACAGTGGTTGACTCTGAGGGAACCATCCGTCCACGGTGCTGTGTTGATATGTAAGGACATGTACAATCTACTATAGCTTTGTGTTCATGCAGGAAGTATACAGCATTCTAACAATGTACTCTATGAAATAGCTTTGTCTGCAAATCAGTCATTACATTTGTGGCATGTTCCGCTACACTGCATCTTCTGAGATAAACAATACATGTATGATGTGACAACACTGAACATATACATTGGTAGAAAATAATAACATGTTCAATAGAGGGACGTTATATTGATTGGAAAATTTAGTTTCAATATTTTGACTCTGGGGAGCGTGGTAACCTAGTCGTAAAAGTGTTCGCTCATCACACCGAAGATCCGAGTTCAATTCCAAATATGGGTACAATGTATGAAGCCCATTTCTGGTTTCCCCTTTCCTATCTAGAACTGCTTGTAAACAATGTAATGCTAAAATGAAATAGCTTACATTAATTGTCTAAACCTGAATTTCTTGCCTTCTGATCAATCGTGTTAATATTATTAACAAAAGGTCAGTGTTTCTGGGGCAACAGAATTAAGTATTGATATACATAAATCAATATAAGTACATTGTATCATTACAGTATCAACATTAAAGATTTATCAATATTGCTATATAAGATGTCATCTCTAGTTCAGCACCTATTGTGTTGTAAGCTAGTGATGAGCTCCTCTACTGTTGCCCGTAGCAACACTGGTCTGTATAAATGTTCCCCGTGTGTATCCATCAGGTGGACTATACGGAGTGCGTATGTCAAACAGGGGACTCGGACAGTTGATCAACATGTTCTGTCGTAACAGCTTGTGTCTCAGGGCAATGGGCATTCATGCATGCTATAATCATATTGTTATTGATAATATTAATGATTATGTTAATCATAATAGGCATTGTGAACTGAAGGGTTTCAGCTGCAATCTTATTGGTTAAAAAAATGGATTCGATGCTAGAAGGCCTTCTGGACTAGGCACAAATGATAAACATATTATTTTTTCATTCCCCCAAAATATACTTGCCATTTGGGGACAAAGTTATCAGGATAGTTTCTTTTTGATGGGGTCTTTAAGTTTACATTCTGCCAATATGGACTAAATTTTCTCATCATAATATTTTAGTCTGTGTTGAATAATTATGTATTTATTTAATCTTGCACTATTAAAATTTGGGGCTATATTTCAGTGATTATTTGCTCCAGTTACCATGGTTACACAACCTAACTTCCTTTGCCCCAAGCACAATTACTGAATGATCTGTTAGATGATGTAGTTCCCTGGCTGTGCTGGTGTAGACTCAGACCTCTAACTGCATGTGAGACGATGTTTCTTGACATAACTGGAAAGACTTGAATCCTGATTTGGGTGTGAGAACTTTGTTAGATAGAATAATCTTGTTGTTGCTAGAACAGGTTGGTCAATCACAGATCCTAATACTGTGTACAGCATATGTAGGCATATAAGACCAGAGTGTTCTTGGGATGGGATGGCTTATTTGGGTGCCAAGTTTGTAAGCCTAAGTTCCAAACTTTTTCAGAGATGGCTCCTGTTACAGTATAGGAGGACCTGGGTACAAGAAACGACAACCAGGACCTGTGCTTCGTCATGTGAAATATTGTTTCATGACAACAATAAAAGTCACACTACAAGTCACTTATGTTCATATTACTTTTTGACAAAGCACTTTTTCCATTATGTTTGACTAAAGATAGAGTTTTGGCAACTTAAATGTATCAGTTTGATAGGTTTATACTTGAATATCTAATCAGTTGTTGCCAGGGTAAAACAATGCCCAATTTGACATTTGTTACCAACCCTTGAAACCTTCAACTGGTACTGGACTAGGGTTGCACACATCCAATCCTAAGAATAGTATTTTTGTATTCTCTCCACAGCTCCTCTGTAACAGTTGTCTCCCTTTCATTGCAGAGTCATCCGCCACATCGATATTTGCATAAACAATGAGGGAGTCAAGGATAAGTTCCGTATTCAAGTTTCAGAATACGGCCAAAAGAAAATGCTAGGTGAGGTTAACTGATTTGCGTTCAATGAGCATGGGGAAATGTCAGTGTCCTCGTGGTGAAGTGACCCGTGAAGATCTGGACTAGAATTGATCTTCAACAACCCATGCTTGTTGTAAGAGGCAACTAACAGGATCGGGTGGTCAGGCTCGCTGACTTTGTTGACACAATGTCATCATATACCAATTGTGTAAATATTTGCTAATGTTATTGATCACTGGATTGTCTGGACCAGATTCAATTATATATAAACCACTGCCATAAAGCTGGAATATTTCTGAGTGTGGCGTTAAACATCAAACAGACAAGCAACTTAGTGAAGTGTCCTGTTGACTTTTCAGTATAGCCACTCTTCCTCATGCTTGTTTTTAAAGATCAGGTGCTTCAGATGATTTACTTCACTTTTAGCAACCTTCCTGCTGAAATTGTAAATAATTTGAGTTCATGCAAGGCTGACCTCTGGTTGAAAGCAGTTACCAGCACACAGGTCTCACATATTTTATCAAACTGATCCTCCTGTTCTTATAACAAACACTGGATAGTGGTTGGGTTTCACGGTTGGCCCACTCATCTAAGGTTCTGCAGATCGCTGTACAGAGTTGCTTCCCTTGAGCTTTGGTTTCCAATCCTGGTTTGCTTCGAACAGCAGATTTGTTAGCTCTCTTCCCTGCTCATGACAGCATTTGATGTATATTACCAGTAGCTCAATACTAGTACTTGCTGACAATAACTGACAATTACCACCAACAGATTTTACAACTGCCACTTAACACGGTGAATGTGATTGACAGTTAGTAACAGTCGGTTTGATTTCATTTGAGACCGATGAATTGCTAGCTAACACAAAATCTAATAATTGCAACAAAACCAAATTTTACACTGTCAGTGTCACATGAAATCGACGGACCAACTCTGATGATTTGTCTCATGATTTTGGACACCCGAATAAAAAAGTTGTTTAACAAACAATCATTATTTTGTTGTCACTAATACACAAAATAATTATCGTTTGTTAAACAACTTCACAAACAAATCATCAGAGTTGGTCTGTCGATTTCAAGTGGAATTTTCATGTTTCATGTTGCAATTACTAGATTTTGTGTTAGTGAGCAACTCATCGGTCTCAAATGAAATCAAACGGACTGTAATGTGATACTGACAGTGAACCTGATACTGACAGTGAACCTGATACTGACAATGAACCTGATACTGACAGTGAACCTGATACTGACAGTCTGGCAGTGAACCTGATACTGACAGTGAACCTGATTCTGACAGTGAACCTGATACTGACAGTCTGGCAGTGAACCTGATACTGACAATGAACCTGATACTGACAGTGAACCTGATACTGACAGTGAACCTGATACTGACAGTCTGGCAGTAAACCTGATACTGACAGTGAACCTGATACTGACAGTCTGGCAGTGAACCTGATACTGACAATGAACCTGATACTGACAGTGAACCTGATACTGACAGTGAACCTGATACTGACAGTCTGGCAGTGAACCTGATACTGACAGTCTGGCAGTGAACCTGATACTGACAGTGAACCTGATACTGACAGTGAACCTGATACTGACAGTCTGGCAGTGAACCTGATACTGACAGTGAACCTGATACTGACAGTCTGGCAGTGAACCTGATACTGACAGTGAACCTGATACTGACAGTGAACCTGATACTGACAGTGAATCTGATACTGACAGTCCCTGTTGTGTGTTGTGCAGGGAGGAAGGATGTCTCCTCAGTGTTACTGCCGAGGAAGGACAGCGTTGTGCCCCCAGATGATGACTTCCAGTCACTCCCCTCTCACACAACAGAGGGTGCTGACAGTCAACAGTCCCTCGCATCACGACATGGACACGGTCAGTATACACCACGGATAAATATACATTGGAGGATGACAGACTTTATGAATTCTTAATTTGAAATAATGATGTAATAAAAAACAGAATTTACATCTTAGAAAATGAGGTAAAGCTAATTTTGATAAACAGTAGGTGAGTGTCTTGCTTGTTACTCTGATGTTTATGCAATGTCAGCAGTATTAGCACTGACTGTGCTGCATATTAAGTCATATGACTGATTCCTTCAGGGAGACCAGTGGGCTCGGGGCCTGGTTTCATTGTGATCTGTGCCGCCATTGCCTGCATCGTGGCTCTAGCCATGCCCTCCCAGGGAGAGAAAGAATCACGCCTGCCTGAATACCTTCATGTGTCGCAGCAACAAAAGCTGATAGCTGCATATATACTAGGTGAGTAGTTACGTATATACTCACGTAGATATTAGTTAGGTATGTATGATTTGAGTAGTTACATATATACTAGGTGAGTAGTTACGTATATACTAGGTGAAGTATATACTTACGTAGATATTAGTTAGGTATGTATGATTTAAGTAGTTACATATATACTAGGTGAGTAGTTACGTATATACTTACGTAGATATTAGTTAGGTATGTATGATTTGAGTAGTTACATATATACTAGGTGAGTAGTTACAGTATATACTTACGTAGATATTAGTTACGTATGTATGATTTGAGTAGTTACATATATACTAGGTGAGTAGTTACGTATATACTAGGTGAATAGTTACGTATATACTTACGTAGATATTAGTTACGTATGTATGATTTGAGTAGTTACATATATACTAGGTGAGTAGTTACGTATATACTTACGTAGATATTAGTTAGGTATGTATGATTTGAGTAGTATCATATATACTAGGTGAGTAGTTACGTATATACTTACGTAGATATTAATTAGGTATGTATGATTTGAGTAGTTACATATATACTAGGTAAGTAGTTAAAGCATACGACTTTTATAGATAACAATCTACTTGTTTGTTGTATAGAGTGACGTTTCGGTGTAGATTCTTACACCATACTTTCAAGCTGAAGTGTTCACCGAAACGTTGCTCTATGCAATAAACAAGAAGTTATTCCATTAAGTTGTATACTTTATTATTGACTCACCAACTTCTAGAATGCTGATCAACCAATGATTAAGTAATTACATATATACTAGTCAAGTAGTTGCAGATAAGTTGTGAATATGCATCCATTTTAGAAAGTGGTCAAATGTAACGTATGTCCTACTTGGGATTACCCCTGTCTCAATAAAGTACATATTTTTCCTTATCCTGACTCATGCTCTTTTGCTTGTCTTCTTCTTCTTGCGAACATAGTGGAACACTTGTATCTCCTTAATTGAAGCTCCCTTCAATGTAAAATCACTAATATGTACTCACCAAGAGTTGCCTCCCTTTGCCCCTGCGCGTGAAAGGCGGCGCCACCTTCTGGCCTCATGCTTCACTCTCTCCTTATTCACCCAGTGAGCAGGATGTGAGAGCGCCTGTGTCTCCTTACACACTATATCCTTTGGTTATTCTTAGTTAGTTACCTCCTATAGGTTACTATAGAGGTATAGCTAGTATCCTTCATTAATATGTATTGATAATTACTCGTATTTCTACTGTTTATTTACGGGAGTTCGTGATTGTTCAGCTAGTTTTATGTTGATGAAAATCTGTACTATTTGTAGATTACGTTTTTCTGCTGCTGACCCGCATGTAATATGCCCTAGTTGTTCTACGCCTTGTGCATTTGATTCACGTTGCAGTTACTGCATTAATCTATCTAATTCTGCTTTTAATAAATATCATCTTTGCGTCTTGAGACGTGCAGCAGATAGGTCACGCAAACAAGGGTTAGACATGGCCGATACATCGGAACCCCTAGCCAGTCAGCTGCTGTTGGTCTCCACCCTCCCGCCTGGTGTTCGCTAGAGTTTCCCTCGAGGAGGGCGTGGGATGCAGTCCCGCCTCCAAGAAGCGCCCTGCTTCCCCAGACATCCCATCATCGCGAGCTAAAGTCTAAGAGGGCCTCGACGTCTACTCAACGCAGACTCCGTACCCCCAGGGCAGCGTCTACCTCCAAGGGAAAGTCTACCAAGTCGTCAAGAACCTTCTCAGCCGAGATCGTTCCAGCCGCCGAACTGGGCCTCTACGATGATCAGCCGATCATCATCCCCGACCTATGCCACAAGAAACGACCGGTGACAGCTACAGTGACATCAGCAGAGATCGCCATGCAGCCTAATGTGTCTACACCGATGTCAGACGATCTCCCTGAGGGCCCCGCCTCTAACATCGCAGAGATGGCACCGACTACATCGTCGCAGACCGTCCCAGATGAACTGATGCGGCAAATCATGATCATGATGGAGGACCACTACAGACTGGAGAAACAACCAGCCCAGGGCCTGAGCCTTCGCGAAGGCTCCAACGCAGACGACACCCCAGAGGGACCCCCTGTCAACGTAGCGGCCACGACGAAGCCACCTTCGCGAAGGAAGTCACAGACCACCTCGACGAAGGACCCAGATGTACAGCCTTCGCAAAGGCGGGATAGATCATCACCTACCTCGGCTTCATCCTTAGATGCGGACTCAGACCACCAGACTTCACGAAAGCCTTCGCGAAGGTCAAGTCGCCGTTCCCCAGGACCAGACGCAGAGGAAGCTTCGCGAAGGGCACCTTTATCAGGCTCCAAATCATCTTCGCCCCAGAAGGACATCGAGGGATTCCACAAGAGCTTCGGTGAAGCTATCAACATTCACCTCACAGATCTCGCTGGAAGGTCAACCCATAGGCGAGATCGCCAGGGACGTTCACCAAGACGATCCCCTCGCCATTCTCCATGCCGATCACCTCGCCGTTCACCGCGCCGATCTCCTCGTACATCACCACGTCGATCTCCTCGCAGGTCACCACACAAGTCTTCACAGAAGTCCACAGTCAGGTCTCCCTTAACGTCACCCGGTACAGTGGTAGAAGCACACAGTCCACCATCTGAAGAGCATCAACCTCTCATCAGCAATCCTGGGGTAGAAGATGATGGAGGCATCATTTTCTCAGACGCTGAGATACGATATTGGATGGTAAACAACCTAGACCTTTCTTCACCTTCCAAGAGTGGTAACTCGGCGCATACTTACCTGATGAAGGAGGACGATGCAAACGCCGTCACCTTACCTCCGATCGACCCGATTGCTGCGGTGCCACAGAATCTGGACACAGCCTTCCATAAAGCCACGAAAGTTCAGATGCCACACCTACCGAACTTTCACGCTAAGAAGTTTTCAACTCATAACATGGACCCCTTCCTCAAGGCACAAGATATCGATGACAATTACAAGATGATCAGCGATGTCAAGAATAAGAACTACAAGATTGACGATCGCAAGCTGGTGCACATAGAAACCATGACGAGACGCATGTTCTTTGGCCTTAATAGATCTAGAACGATCAATGAGACTCTTCTGAAATGACACGACTTCTGAAGATGATAGGATGATCTACTCGGCCCTACTGATGCAAAAGAAGGACCAGCAGTTCCTAACGGATCATCTCACATCAGAAAGTCTCCAAGGAAGTCACTAAGGATTCTAGAGAAGTCCTTATGATTAAGTCGATGGACACGCTAGCCAGCGTCATCAGGCAGACTTCACAAAGATATTCAGGGAAATCTAAATTCACTGGATTACAGAGAGCACGGGATAGGAAGATGGCCAGCTCCAGGGGAAAAGATTCTTTTCGTCGCCCATATGGCAACTACAGAGGAGGATCAGGAAGAGGCAGGGCACCCAGAGGTTCCCGCAACTATAAACGTTGAAAGACAGGTTCGGAACGACTGGAGTCTTCCACCCCCAGCCGTTCCAGTACAACCGTCACAAGTGGGTGGACGCCTTCAACTACACTGGGAGAACTGGGGAATGTTACAAGACCCTTATGTCTCCAACATTCTTCAACACGGATATCGTATCCCACTACAGGCCACGCCTCCGCTGACAGTCAACTCTCACAAGTTCGACTTCCAGGCACAACAACTACCAAAGTTAAGAGAGGCTGTTACATCGCTTTTAACCAAGCAGGCCATAGAAGTACTAGATCAAGTAAACGTCGAACCAGGCTTCTACTCCCCAGTTTTCCTAGTACCTAAGAAAAACTCCAAGGAAAAATACAGACTCATTTACAACATGAGCATATTCAACAGAGATTATCTACGCAAACCGCCAACGTTTCGCATGATACATCTACCTCAGTTACGGCAGTTGATTCGTCCCATGGATTACATGGCCAGTATAGATCTGCAAGACGCATATCTACACATCCCGATACATCCCGAATCCAGGAAATACCTACGATTTACACTAGACGGGCTGCATTACCAATGGAAAGTACTCCCATTCGGAATATCATCAGCCCCCTGGCTATTCACGAGGATAACGAAACCTATCGTCACCTATCTACATCGTCTAGGGCTACGCAGTGCGTTCTACCTCGACGACGGGATACAAGTAGATCAAGATCCACAGCGTCTCAAACTACAGTTAACTACATCATAAAGCTACTAACACAGCTAGGATGGTTAGTAAACTTACTCAAGTCGGACCTAGTACCATCGCAAGATCTGCAATTTCTAGGCATTCGATTTATCACGACTCTCAACCGTATCGTCGTACCAGAAGACCGATGGCTCAAGATCCAACAGACCATTCCTCTAGCCCTACTCTCTCCGTTACCACTACGACATTGGCAGAGCCTGTTGGGTCTCCTCACGTCAGCCCAAGACATGACAGTCAGAGGCAGAATACAGTTACGTCCGTTGCAGGTCTTCATTAATGCACATCTCGACGACCTACAACCATTCAGTCTACCAAAACACCTCAGACCTCATCTACTATGGTGGACCAGGAGGTCGAATGTCTGCGAAGGTATTTGTTTAGCAGAGACGGAATTCAAAACCCATCTATATGTAGACGCGTCACTCCAGGGTTGGGGAGCTCATCTCGCCAACCGGACGGCTTCAGGGTTATGGAATCAGCAAGAAAGCAAGCTCCATATAAACATGTTAGAGATGAAAGCGGTAATCAACGCCATACTTCATTGGAGCACCATTCTACAAAATGCGCATCTGATGATTCATACCGACAACTCGACAGTGGCGTTTTATGTGAACAAACAAGGCTCAACGAGATCACTGAACCTATTGACTTTAAGCTTTCAACTGTTCGATCTAATCGACGATCTCAACTTACATGTCAGAGCATGTCACATTCCCGGAGCCAAGAATGTACTAGCAGACGCACTCTCTCGGCCACATCTACCGTCACCGACAGAATGGATGCTCAATACAGAAATTTTTGCACAGATTATCAAGCAAATAGGAGCTCCGCTAGTAGATCTATTCGCCACTCGCTTCAACAATCAGCTACCGACATTCGTATCACCAGTCCCGGACCCACAAGCATGGGCAACGGACGCTCTAAGCATATCCTGGGAAGGCCTCACGCGTGACGCGTTTCCGCTTCCGCCAGCGATAATCCCTCAAGTGTTACAGAAAATCAGACAAACACAGAGCCTCCAACTCACTTTGGTCTCGCCCTACTGGCCAGCCAGAACGTGGTTTCCCATTCTAATTCAAGAAATCGGACAACCAACACTAGAGCAACCAAAGCGCTCGAATCTATTAGTACATCCACACACCAAACAGGTACATGGAAGCCCAGAAGTATTCCAACTTCACGTATGGACTGTATTAAAATGTGTTTAAACAAGAGAGGGTATTCAACCAGAGCGGCAAAAGCAGTCACGCTTGCCTTACGGCTATTCTACCGTTGCAATACGACGATAAGTGGCACAGTTTCGAAAATTACGCAGCAAATAAGGGATTTACAGCGAGAGATGCTACACATCCACAAGTGGCAGATTATTTGTGTTACCTACGCCAAAACAAACATTAAAAGGCTCGACATTGTCAACATATCTTGCCGCGCTTAGTTCTGTGATAACTATGAGAACGGGTGTCAAGCTAACCAAGACGCCAGAGTTACTGGCCTTACTACGTGCTTTCCGATTGGAGGATCAGAAGCGGAAGTTCCACTTCCAGCTTTGGGATCTGAATATAGTGCTCAACACCTCACAAGTGAGGCTTATGAACCGTTGGAATCGACAACCTTTGAATTTCTCTCACAGAAAACGCTTTTCCTGTTATCTCTAGCCACGGCAGCCAGGATGTCAGAAATTCACGCTCTAGATTATGAGAGGATACAGTTTGATGACAATCAAAACACAGCGCACCTGGGATTAAGATGGGATTTCATCGCCAAAAATCAATTGCCAGGTCAACCAGACAGATTATTCCATATTCCTGCACTCTCCTCGATTCTCGGATCTCAAGATACACTGGACTTATCTCTATGCCCAGTCAGAGCTCTCAAAATCTATTTACGACGTTCCAAAGCAAGGCGACGATTTCTCAAACGATTATTCATCCCCTTATCGGCAACAACTCAGACAGAAGTCTCTCGTACCACCATATCTATATGGATAAGAACTGTTATACTTCGCGCCTACAAGGCGGCAGGACTCGACCCTCCAACAGCATCAAATCCCCATGAGATCAGGGCATTGGCTTCCACACTCGCTCTACACGGTAACTGTTCATTAAATACAATCATGGAAGGATGCTTTGGGAAATCTAACATGGTGTTTGCTAATCACTATCTGAGAGATATCACCACCGAGGACGTCTCAGGTATTCACCATTTCGGTCCCTTGGTCCTCGCACAGCAGTTGACTGTCCCTCGTAGACGTCTACTCAGCTTTAAGCTTATACTGATGATTATGTTCAGTTGTATAGCTTCTCCTTGTCGGAGTCGCTTTTATATCTTTATTGCTATTATCATAGTATATTATTATTGTAATACCCCATCTATGGCAGTGTATAAACTTATGGTTTATAGTAGAGGAATTATCCTACGTCAGTGCCATTATGAAGTTCCCGTTAGGGGGTTATTACAGTTATATATATATAAATCACTAATTAATTTTATAAATCCAAAGTATTCTGTTCTTTCCCACCTCCGTTTCCGTAGGATTCTACAAGCAAAAGAGCATGAGTCAGGATAAGGAAAAGTATGTAATTTTTAGAGTAAAATTGATATTTTATACTTATCCTGACTCATGAGGTAAGCCCTCCCATCCTCCCCACATAACACTTTGGATTTCCCTGTAAATTCAAGTGTTGGGCTCGCTATATCAGGAGAGAGTGAAGCATGAGGCCAGAAGGTGGCGCCGCCTTTGTACATGCCTTTCCCGCGCAGGGGCAAAGGGAGGCAACTCTTGGTGAGTACTAATTAGTGATTTTACATTGAAGGGAGCTTCATATAGGAGATACAAGTGTTCCACTATGTTCGCAAGAAGAAGAAGAAGACAAGCAAAAGAGCATGAGTCAGGATAAGTATAAAATATCAATTTTACTCTAAAAATTACATATTCTAGTACTTTGGGCGTTGAGTACCATTTGGGATACGAACCTACAATCACAGAGTAAGGCTCACAAAACCATCACCATGGGAGTGCCAATGACACGTCAGGGGGTTCCACAAAGTGCTGATCTAGACTACCACTTCATTTTTGTGCAAGCAGTGGTGGCCAAGTTGGTTTAGATGGCTGACTTTGTGTGCTGGCAGTTAGGTACCTTACTCTGACAGCCTGGGTTCAAATCCCTAAGGGGCGGTTGGGTAGCCTAGTGGTTAAAGCGTTGGCTCGTAACGCCGAAGATCCGGGTTCGAATCCCCACATGGGTACAATGTGTGAAGCCCATTTTGGTGTCCCCTGCCGTGATGTTGCTGGAATATTGCTATAAGCGACGTAAAACCAAACTCAGTCAGTCAGTCAAATCCCTAATGTGACTTAACCACCCCCACCCCAAAAGTTCTAGAATCTATACTTTTCCGAGAAAGTGTAATCCAAAATCTGACATGTTACAATTACACTGGGTGAGTACCTGACACAGTAACATTATATTAACAAGAAACTCACAAAGATCCCTTGATTTGAGTTTTCCTGTAAATGCAACTGGTTTGTAAGTCATAGAAGTGTTTTTTGATTTCTTGCAGGTTTAGTTACCATGGTGATCCTGCGGGTATGACGCTGGCTGAAGTAGGAGCGGACGTCCTGCATATCTCACCCCCAACATCTCCACACTTCCCCGCCCCCTCACGTCTTTCAGTTCATTCTTTTAATTAGTTCACACAGATCAACTTGTACATTTTATGATTTGGTATATATGAATGCTTGTGTAAGTTGTGCTCTGAACTGTGTGCAATAAAGATCAATGTGACTTTTCATGCCAACAGTTTGTTTGAGTGATATTTATAGGAGGTCAACTATGAAAATTTGGATTTGCTACTACACCTGTTTTCAGAATGGACATAAGAGCTATATAAGTTTACTCAATGATATTAACTGTCTGTCCACAAATTACATCTACAGAAATCAGAGCTCCATAGCTAGGTATTCTTGTACAGTGTAGATTCAACTTTTGTGTAGCCCACTATACTCCATGAATATGGCAAAAGTAGTTTGAAAGCAAATTGACTTGTACAAGTACAAAGTGGACTGGGCGATGTGGTAGCCTGGTGGTTAAAGCGCTCGCTCCTCACACAGAAGACCCAGGTTCGATTTCACACATGGCTACAATATATGAAGACCATTTTTGGTGTCCCCTGCCGTGATATTGCTGCAATATTGCTAAAAGCAGTGTAAAACCATATTCACTCACAAAGTAGACAATTAAGAACTGGGGAAACTCAACAAGGGTTGAGGTAAAACTTTCCCAGTAAAGTACAGATTCTAGTACTTTAGGGTTGAGACCCATCCGGGATTCGAACCCACAGTTTCAGAATGAGGCACCAAATCGCCATCACACAAAGACAGTGATCAAACCATAGGCGCCCGACTCTGATATATTTATAAGCATGACCTATAGATCTATGTATAACATATAGGTCATACTTATAAATATATCAGAGTCGAGCGCCTATGGATCAAACCTACTTGTTCACCAACGAAATGATACCATCATGTATCCACACATCATTTTTAATAAACTCGGTTGGGTAGCCTAGTGGTTAAGCCCTCGTCACACCAAATAGCCGGTATCGATTCCCCACATAGGTACAATGTGTAAAGCCCATTTCTTGTGCTCCCATCCACTGATATTGCTGGAATATTGCTAAAAGTGACGAAAAACCAAACTCACTCATTTTTGAAAAAGACACCGCTCACGACGTTGGCGATACAGAAGCACATAAAATGTGTACGTTGTAGTCGTGTACAGTTGTCCCACGTGTGCCACGTGTTCCTTGAACCACACATGCCAGCAGTAAATCACACAACGGTGTGTAGGGACGGAAAGGTAGCCTCGTGGTTTGTGGTTAAAATAATTCAAAATCTCTACCGAGTTCAAATATATAACCCGTCACCTTGACCATGAACGTACCTATAACTCGAAAGAATTGCGACCGCCCCATCATCATGATCGTGTAGTTCATAATAATTGGACCGTTTGTGTCGAAATACATAGCACTTTCTAAAACCGTGTACTCCGTCCCAACTTTGATTTTACTTTCTAATTTCGTTCCATTACCTCGAAGCTCGCTCGTGCCATATTTACAGTTTGTAAAAGAGAAATGAACATTTTAAAATGTCATTGTCTGGCGGCGAGTTCTCCGTTATTCTCTTATTTATTTTTGCGGTGGCCGTTTTCTCCATTACCCCTGCTGAATGTCTATATCTACACGTGAGACCATGCGAATATATGCGACCTTTCGGTGTAGATGCTGACGTCGTTATTAAGCACCACACGCCAGCAGCCAGCTTAATCCTCAAAGAAGTATATTTTCTCCTTGTCCACGAGAGAATTCAGCACCTTCTAAGACCAAAGCTGTCGCCATGACCAGCATGGTAGAACAACAACAGCAGCAGCAGCAGAAGCAACTCCATCTGACATCCTCCACCCTGACAACTACTTAAACCTACGCAACCTCTAAACCGGAGATGACTAGAAGCAAGAGGCTAGAGAAAAGAAAACCTACATCACAAACTTCAACAAGCCCAACCCACAACCACATATCCGAACTTCCACATCCACAGACGAGTACCCCATAACTAAGTTGATAACTGTCCTAGCATCTACACCGAAACGTCCCAGCTATCGCAATAAAGAAGTTGTGTATAATATCCATAGAAAATTAATGTCTCCTTTGTTCATCTCAACGACTTCTAAATGCCACACAAAGAAATTGAGTATGTCCAGTTCCTGTACCGTTCTTCACACACTCACTTTTGGCCCGGTTGTTCAAACAATTCTGTTCTAAGTCTTGACTTGTCTTCAAACTGTACTTAATCAATCAATAGATTCATTTCGGCAGCGTCATACAGATTAAGACGTTAAAAATAGTACATGATGTTACCTTGCCCGGTGGCAAGGGGATAAAACAGTTGCGTATACACTGTCTACCCAGTACCCAGCCATGTTTAAGTGTTGCAGGATATCTGAGTAGACCAGCCAAAGCAAGGATAAGCAGCCACACACACGCACACGCACGCGCGCGCACGCACACACACGTGCACACCCGAGCATACCCGTGCTTAAGTGCAGTAATCTTGAAAGCAGCATTAAACACAATTTCACCTCACGAATATCGTCGATCTTTATAAATTTGTAACTTTAATGTAGATGGAATGTAACAGATATGACACCTTGTCTGTCACCATTACCGGGACATATGTGCATACCTTGAGGCCATGTGGCTTTGTCTATTGTTGTATACATCCTGTTCTCATTGCGCAACTTCATCACGATTCTGACTTCTAGAAGTTACATATATCACTTGCTGCAGGAATCGAAGGTAACGTAGCTTTGACTTGATCCAGTCATATCTTCTAGATGACTTAATAACGCTTGTTATCCCTGACGTTCCGGGTAAGAATGGTTTTCAGCAACCCATGTTTGTCGTAAGAGGCCACTAACGGGATCGGGTGGTCCGGCTCGCTGACTTGGTTGACGCATGTCATGGTATGCCAAGGTCGATGCTCATGCTGTTGATCACTTGATTGTCTGATCCAGACTCGATTATTTACAGACTGCCGTCATCTAGATGGAATGTTGCTGAGTGCGGCGTTAAACAACAAACCAAACCAAACCAAACGAAAATAACGCTTGTTACTCATATCAATGTAGCGTCGGTGCTATCGTCTTGTTACTCATATCAATGTAGCGTCGGTGCTATCGTCTTGTTACTCATATCAATGTAGCGTCGGTGCTATCGTCTTGTTACTCATATCAATGTAGCGTCGGTGCTATCGTCTTGTGTTTTTCATATGTTGGACTCATCTGCAGGGTACAGGCAACAGAGAGTTTGGGGCACATTCGTGTACAGCGTTTGTGCTCTGCATAGTATAAGGAAAGCCTTAACGCTTCTATTAATGCAGTATCTGTTTTGTTTGTACAATGCAGAACAATGGCCCTGTTATTGGTCTAGAAAGTGTAAAAATTCAGGGAACTGATGAAATGATAGTGAAGGTGTCATGACCATACTTTTGTAAAATACATTCCTGGGTCCCGATCCACAAAGTGTTCGTAACATTACGACCTGTCGTAACTCTATAGTTTTAAATAGACTTATGAATGTCGTAGCGCTATATACGCTTTGTGGATCGGGACCGAGGCCTGTTGATCAGTATACGTGTGCCAACCATGTTGGGCGATACATGCATGGCACCTTGATGACATAGAGTTGATTAACATATATGATTGAACTCTATATGGGACATGTTGGCGGACTTACTCGGCCAATCCAGAGTCGTATGTCTTTTCTTTAGATGTGGTATGATGTGGTCTAGCATTGTCATCTTGCAGTTCAATGTATTGCCGAATATTATAGCGAATGGCACAACGACTGGACGGGAATGTTCGTCAACATAGTTTGTCATATTAGTTGGCCTGTCATGTGTGATAGCGCCCCTACCAGCCCCCATTAGCTGCTTCAGGAAGTTTAACCCAGTTTGACGTCACCATCCCACATGTATTCTCTGAAACAACATTTAAACCAGTCTGATTTACACGTGGTCTCCGACAAGACGTTTAACACGGTTTTTACGTCACGATCTCACACGTGGTCTCCGACAAGACGTTTACCCCAGATTATACGTCACCATACCACACGTGGTCTCCGACAAGACGTTTACCCCAGTTTATACGTCACCATACCACACATGGTCTCCGACAAGACGTTTACCCCAGTTTATACGTCACCATACCACACGTGGTCTCCGACAAGACGTTTTACGTCCCCAGTTTATACGTCACTCCGACCACGTTTACCCAGAGGTCATCACGTGGTCTCCGACAACACGTTTACCCAGTTTATACGTCACCATACCACACGTGGTCTCCGACAAGACGTTTACCCCAGTTTATACGTCACCATACCACACGTGGTCTCCGACAAGACGTTTAACCACCAGCCTTCCCCACGGCCTCAAACATTAACGAAACATCACGTAACTAAAATTAACAACTAAATTATCACACCACAACACCTCTTTGCACAATTTTCATATTTTCTTTTATTATTCCAAAATGTCAGCACGTGCTTGTAGTGCTGCATATTATCTACAGCACAGAGTTGCATTCATTCCAAAGACTATACATCGGTTCTGATCTTATCGTATGCATGATTTTTTATGCTAATTTTCTTAGGTAAGATATATTATATCCTAAAATGAGCACTTAAAGTACACCGACGTGGTTTTATTCTCAAAGAATATAATCTAACTTAATCTAATCTAAAGGAAAAATTATTCACACAATGCACAACTGATGGATATCGAAGACATCGTTTAAATTTGATACGTTTGCTTTTGGAGCACAAATTCACATGTACATTGTCAGGTGATAAAACGGACACACTTTATCAACAGTTGTGTCAATTTTCAGTTATATAATAATCAAAATCTCTACGTTCATAGTTCTCTTTTTTATTCATAATCATCATAATGTTATTGCTGCATTAAAATGACAAGGCGCTTTACAACTTTCGCTAAGCTACCACTGGCTTCGTCGGTTGAGATTACTTATATAAACAAATGTCAAATCTAGTCAGAGGTGTTGTATATTTCATGCAGGTGTTCATCAGAATTGTCATTTGGTGTCATGGATACGGGTTTAACCAATCAGAACACACTTCCGCTGCATGAGTTTTACATGCGCGTAATCCAGACTCCATAGATGGAAGCAGACGTGACTAAATTTATCAAAAGCACCGTTGCATGTCAAACTAGTTCGAAC